CGCTCGAGGTCGCCGCCGCGGAGCAGCGCGCACGCGACGCCGTAGGACGGCGCGAACTTGGACGCGATGGGCAGCACGTCGCTCAAAAGCACGCGCCGCGCGAGCCCCGCGTCGCGGTCGCCGAACTTGCGGCCCCGCGCGACGACGACCGTGCCCGCGGCGTCCTTGCCGCGGCGGCCCGCGCGGCCGGCCATCTGCAAGAGCGCGGACGTCGTCAGGGGCTCCATGCCGTCGTCGCCGCGCTTGACGAGAGACGTCACGACCGTCGTCCGCGCCGGCAGGTTGACGCCCGCGGCGAGCGTCTCCGTCGCGAAGCACGCCTTGACCAAGCCGTCGCGGAAGAGCTCTTCCACGAGCGTCTTGTACTGCGGCAGGAGCCCCGCGTGGTGCGCCGCGACGCCTCGCGTGAGGAGGTCGACGCGCTCCCGCTCGCTGTCGAGGCGCGCGACGTCCTCGTTCTCCAGGGCCCAGGCGCGGATCCGCTTCCGCGCGCGCGTCTCCTCGTCGACGTCTAAGAGTTGGAGCGACCCGCAGTGCGCCGCCTCGTTCTCGCAGCCCTTGCGGCTGAAGACGAAGAAGATCGCCGGCAGGCGGTCGCGCTTCTGTAGATTCTTCAGGATCTCGCGGCTGGGCATGGCGCCGTCGTCAAACTTCCCCCCTCGGCGGTCGAATTTGTCGCGGCCGACGCGCTTCGGTTTTTCCCGCGGCTTGTCGAGCGCGGGGTTGAGCTGGAGCCGCTTCCGCGCGCGCGCGCGCGTGCCGCCCGAGCTCTTGGACGCGAGCCGCGTGCGCTCCCGCGCCTCCGTCTCCGACCCCGGGCCCACGTCCGCGCTCCGGAAGAGCGGCACGACGGCGCCGTCTCCCGCGAACTCGTAGCGCAGCGGCACGGGGCGGAAGTCCGTCTCGACGACGTCCGTGGGCCCGTGGATCGACGCCATCCAGCCGGCGACGCTGCGCGCGTTGGATACGGTCGCGCTCAGCGCGACGATGCGCGCGGTCGCCGGGCAGCCGACGACGGACTCCTCCCAGACCGTGCCGCGCTGCGCGTCGTTCATGTAGTGGAACTCGTCGAAGACGACGGCGAAGACGTCTTTGGCGATCTCCGCGCGGCCCTCGTCGTCGTAGATCATGTTCCGGAAGACCTCCGTGGTCATGACGACGACGGCCGCGTCGCGGCGCACGCCCGAGTCGCCCGTGCTGAGGCCGACGCGGCCCGCGCCGAACTGCGCGCAAAAGTCGCCGAACTTCTGGTTGCTGAGCGCCTTGAGGGGCGTCGTGTAGAAGACGCGCTTGCCGACGCTCAGCGCGTAGGCGATGGCGAGCTCGCCCGCGACGGTCTTGCCGCTGCCCGTCGGCGCGCTCACGATGACGTTGCGGTCCGCGCGCAAACTCCGGAGCGCGTCGCGCTGGAAGGCGTCGAGCGGGAAGGGGAAGCAGGCGCCGTAGGCCGCGTCGGGCGCGTCGCCGGCGACGGCGAGCTCCGCCTTCAGCGCCGCGAGGGCCGCGGGCGTGCCGGCGCCGGCGGCGATCTTCGCGAGCGTCGCCTCGGGCCACGCCGCCTCGCCGTCGCCGCTGCGCAGTGCGACGCGCCGGCCGAGCACGCGCGCCGGCCGCGCGAGGCTCGCGGCGCGGGCCGCGAGCAGCAGCATGGTTGCTTTCATTACTTAGCAGCGGCGCGTCAGGCTGGGCACATCGACTCTGCCACAAGCGTCAACGTCTCTTCACCATCTCTTCAACGTGGTTGCACTCGGCTCTCGACGGAGG